CAATTAATGGAAAAGCATTACTATCACAGTAGCATATGTGTGGAAAAACAGAAAATTACTCAAACGTTGCTAAAAAAATTATTCTCAGTATACATGGATATAGTGAATATGGTTCTTGATAAATCAGCTGAGAAATTTCAAGCTATACTTCTAAGTGATATTATAGTTCTAAAGAACACATAGAATAAAATTCATACTTATTTAGCAGATATGTGCAGAAACAGATTGTGCGATTCCACTTAATGAGAACACTAATATTTGAGGTTACTAACATTTCCAGTTTATGCCAAATATATATATGAAAATATGATTTTTGTAAAGGATTTTTTATGCTGTTTCAACTTAACCTAACACAAAACACTATCTGAAAAACAAATACAACTAGAAAATTGTAATAAAATTGTGAATGGCTCAGAAGTAAAAATGACCAGGAAGCATGGTAGAATAACTTAAAATATTATTAGAAACTACTGGCTACATTACTATTTAAAATCTATGTTTCACACAAAGATTTAGTATCCTAAGAATTCTACTGAATCTCTTGAACTTGAAAACAAAAATAGTAATTGTTGTTCAATTTCATTAAGGAAACCTTCACTTTTTGATATATATTGTTCAGAAATTGGGTCTGTGGCTGAGATTAGTGGTCACTCACCAAATCCCCCTCCCTATGCCACAGGGACAGAGCTATGGTTACTCAGGTATGTTTCTGCAACGCTTGTCTTCGCCAGTGGAATATAGGAGAAGGGATTTGTGTGACTTGTACCTTTGGGGCCTGGCCTCCTCTACTCTTTTCCTTTTCCCGTGAGCTAGAACACAATGTGCATAGGACTGATCTTTGGGTCGCACAGATGAGAACGACCTCGTATGGGATGGTAGAGCAGTGACATGTAAGGTACATGATCCTGGGACCCGCTGCACCAACCTAGATCACTGACTCAGAGTTCAATTTAAGGGAGAAATAAATGTCTGTGTTCTGTAAATCATTGTATTGTTAGGTCTTTGTTAAAACAGCTCAGCCTTGCTATTAACTAACATGTATACATTGTATAATACTGCGGTTATTTATTGTTATAAGGAAAGTACTAATTAAGTTATATGAACTCAGGAATGGGTTTTACATTTTTCTGTCTGAAAAGCAATCTCATTTGGCTAACATTTTGAACATGATATTTCAGCAAAAGAATTGGCATATAGATCTCTTTTTGACATTTTTAACTAACTGAATTTGGATTACAGTATTAGTTCAAGATTTGGATATATCCAACAGTTATAAATAATCACTATGGTTACTGAGTGTCCACACATTTTATAAGACATGAAGAGTAAATATTAAAATATT